TCCTCTTCTACTGCTGGTCTACAGAAAGCAATACTAGGTTGTCACACTGTCATTTACTGTGTTTAGTGCAAATGGCAGAGGTCTGTGTGGTACATCTAAAAGTTGCAACCCTGCTGCTGGCCCGTCTAGGGATCAGTATGATGGAATTTGTTGCCATCTGCCTCCGCCCCCAGGAAAACCTAGGAAATTACACATTAAAAACCCTATGTTGAAAGGTTACAAAGTCAAGCTCAAAAGTTAGGAAATGACAGAATTAAGGTTGCCTGTGCAATTTTAATTGGGCCTCCTTGTGCACATGTACAGTCTTTAGTTAGGTGATCACATACTTTTTCCCCCCACAACAGGACCCTTGTCTCACACAGTGCACATCCTGCCCTGGGAATAAATTAGGGTTGTGTAAAAAAGGAGGCTGTTCTTCGTTTGTTGCAGAAGCTGGAAAGTGTGTAAGGAATGAGGCAGGGGATTGCAGAAAGAGAAAGGATGGTCTCAGTCTAGTCAGTTGAATGCTGCCCTGAAGAACTGGATTCTGTCTTTGCATCTGCCACAGAATGCCTGTGTGATGCTGGACATGTCACTTCAACCAAACTTTTTACAGGATATTAACTGTGTTCCTCATTTTCTGGATGCTCAGCTGGAAACCCCTAAGATCTGATTTGCAGACGTGCTGAGCACTCATAACTGCAGCTGAAGTTAGGTGAAGCTGTGCTTTGAACATACGAAGTGCTGTATAATGCTACTTACTTCATAAAGTCAAGTCTTTGACACCTCAGATTGTGCATCCAAGATTAGTGGATACTTTTGACCTTAATCTCTCTGTGCTGCAGTTCTCCATCTGTTAAATGGGGCTAATACAGGGGTCGGCAACCTTTCAGAAGTGGTTTGCCGAGTCTTCATTTATTCACTCTAATTTAAGGTTTCGTGTGCCAGTAATACATTTTAACATTGTTAGAAGGTCTCTTTCTATAAGTCTATAATATATAACTAAACTATTGTTGTATGTAAAGTAAATAAGGTTTTAAAAATGTTTAAGAAGCTTCATTTAAAATTAAATTAAAATGCAGAGCCCCACGGACCAGTGGCCATGACCTGGGGAGTGTGAGTGCCACTGAAAATCAGCTCGCGTGCCGCCTTTGGCACGCGTGCCATAGGTTGCCTACCCCTGGGCTAATACCATCCTCTCACCTCACAAGGTTTTTGGGAATATAGTATTTGTGAAGCATTCTTGTACTATACTGATTATAGTATAGTACAAGAATGGAGGAAACCCATGAGGAAATTAATAATTGTCTTCAGAGCAGGGTTTGAATAGTATGCAGTGGGAGGGGGGAAAGCCTGGGGAATTGCACTGAACAGTATAAAACAAAATATTGAGTGGCTGCTAATTAACTGTGCACTGATGAAACAGGTTTCCTGTGGTGAAAAAATTGTATGGGGGAGGGAGGGTCATGTAATTAAAGATTATCATAATGCATACACACATGGGGGGCCAAATTAAGGTGGCACAGATAACCTTCTGGCATTTCTTGACTGAATGTTCTTTAAACATAAAGTGTGTGTGTGTGTGTGTGTGTGTGTGTAAAAAACATGTATGAATTTTTTGGTGTCCCTCCTTGGTTTGGTCTCTGACAGTGTCCCCCACACTGGTGCCTTTGCAGGTTTAGAGGTGTAATTGTATGTTTGAGACGTTTGGAGAAATCAAAAGTATATCCACTTACCTTTGAGGGGCATGCGTGTGAATATTCATTGCAGCTCTTTGAATTAGATTTTTTATTCCTTAAACCTTTGTAGGCATCACTTTTTTATCTGACATCTTTAGAGCTGTTGTATCTGCTTTAATAATGAAGCTATTAATGAATTAATGAGAAGCTGCTCTTTTATGATAACATTGTAAATGTTTATGCTTTGCCTACTTATGCTTTTTGTAGTACGTTTCTGTTCCTCAGAAAGCATGTTTTGTATTTCAAAAGCCACCTTTCTGTCATTCCATAAGAAGAAGCATTTGCTTTCTTAAAATTGTTTTAAGAATTATGCTATTATTTTTACGAGCTACAATGACAGGTAAATTGTCAGTGAAATCAAACTCAGAGATCACTTCACAAGGTAGAACATAGTTGTGTATCATACGGTACTTGATCTTACAGTTAGTAACAAGCAAGTAAACCAGTCTAGTCAAGAAGCAGTCTGATGACTGTAATGTTGTGCTATATGTTGAGGTGGGTCTTGATGTTGCTTCCATTGAAGCCAATGACAGAAACTTCCATTGACTCTGCAGTCAGAGTAGGATTGTATCCCTAGTGAATGAATATATTTCTGACCTAACTGATTTTCATGCATTTTTCTTTTCAGTACACAAAAGTTTGGATTCCTGACCCTGATGAAGTGTGGAGATCAGGAGAAATTATCAAGGATTACAAAGAAGGGGATAAAAGCCTACACCTGAAATTTGAAGATGACACTGTAAGTTAATTAAAATTATATATATTGCCCTTTTCAGTGGTAGATCTAAGCTTCAAATGATCCTCTGAACAAGCCTGAATCATTACAAGTTCTTGGTGTATTTGTAAAAAAAGTCCGTCGTACATCACTTTGCCACAGTCTCAGGTTCTCAAAGGTATTCATATTCAAATCAAAGGTTTCCTGCCTCAGCCAATCTTTGACTTGATTCTGCTGCGAAGTTATAGTCTGTGTATGACATCCAAGTAATTTTTAAAACCGCAGACTGTCACAAACACCAGATTATGACTTTGCTGGCAGATGAATTGGAAGCAGTAAATATTTTTATTCAAACCCATAAGTATCAGAAGTAAAAGACAGCAGAATACAGAAAATAACTGGCCAAATGACACTTTTTTTTTCTATGTATGCTCAGTCTTTTCAGGTTTACTCCAGTATAAAACCCAGATTTCATTTCAGTGCTTGTCTTTTTTTTTTATTTTAATAAAAAATGGTGCTAAAGGAGGGTGACAAGAAACTCCAGAGAGAGTTTTTGAAAAGAACTCAGGCCTGTCTGTTTTCAGAGTACTTTTCAAAAGACTTCTCTTGCTAACACAGGCTGAAATTAACCCGGCATCTTAAGCGGTGGGCAGCTGCTGCTGCTAACATTTTAAAACCAAAATGAGTAATAACTGAGTAGAGTCCTTGCTGGACCAATTTAGGAGAAATCTTTTTAAAATCCAGTTCTTATAAATGTCATGTTGATGGGAATGTTAGAAGAGCCTAGGTAAATGAGCTCTATAGACGAATGATCTGGAGCTAGGTCATTTGCAAAGACTGATGAATGATTGTTTTCAGAGTAGCAGCCGTGTTAGTCTGTATCCGCAAAAAGAACAGGAGTACTTGTGGCACCTTAGAGACTAACAAATTTATT